GATCCGCCACAACTGTTGACGCGCCTCGGTATCTTGGGTTGTAGAGTTAAGGAATGCATAGAATTTGCCAATGATGCTATCCTCGGTGAGGTTTGGATCATCGAAGTGGAGATGGAAGTATTGATACGCGCCGACAATGTCCTCAACAGCGTACTTCCCTTGTTCATAAGCTGTCTGGACGGCTATGTCAATGACTACCTTGTCTTCTTCACCACGCAAACAGCCGATAGCCTTGAGAGCAGACAAGTACATCGGGCTCCTACTAGGATCGGCTAAGACTTGTCGGTTGTATGCTTCGACCACGGCCGCTGAGGACATATCCTCCATCACTCCTAGGTCTTCATAAAAACTAAAGTAAAATGTGTCAGATCCAGTTCTGTTAACTCGAAGATAGGGTGTACTGACGGAGCATGAGCCATCTCAAATTCCTTGTAACGCATAGCTGTCGGATCTGGACCAGATATTAGTCGGATTTCCCAGGGTTAGGGGTTACGATATACGAACAGTCTTGCGCTTCTAGAGCGCATGAAATAACGGGGACGGCAGAAGAAGGAAGATTGGGAATCTGGAATCCTTTTCTTTCCGAGACGGATCTGAGATGTATCAGGACAAGCAACTCATGCAGCAAGTCGTCAAGAAAGAGACGTGTCGTGTCTTGGTACGGTTTCTCAGCGTTAGAGGTCGGTTTAGGCGGGTGCCATGCCCCGGTCTCCTGCATCGATTCGTCAGCGACACAAGACAAAACGAGACCAGCGAACGAGTTGGGAAAACATGTCATTATTACGAACCTTATTGTACATGAACTCTAGAAATTCAAGTAATTCTTTACAAGCAGCGCCTTCAACGCCGAAAGAGTGCATGAACCTCTTGTTCACAGAGGAAATGGGCTTGCTGCGTTGTGGATTTCGTAGGGCGTTGGTAATGTACAGGCGTAGATTATCCAATACATTGATCGGCTGTGGATCACCCATGCCTTCCATGGACTCAGGATACGCTGCCGTGGCCTCTTCAGCTCGTTTCCGTAACAACTCTTTATCGGTCAGCAAGCGGATGGATTCCGGGCTTAGAACCGGCGAAAGAATCCGCAAAGACACCATGGCTGAACATGAGATGTATGAACATTGGTAGTGGTACGTCTCCGCAACCTGCCCTTTGGGAGTTTCTTCGGGCAACGCAAGGCCATTCTTCTGCCGTCCTGATTTGTAGACCAAATGGTGCAAGTGTTTCCCCTGGTTCTGTCCAAGTGTGTTCATGTGGCTGGTGTAGTTTACCACCACTTGAAGATGATAACGGCACTTTGCGCATATGGCTGAAACCTTGGACGATGTGCCTGGCCTTCTCCGGTGCTCTGGTTCTGACATGAATGTTTGGTCTTCTTTCAAGATATACTGGTGTTGACATGCTTCCGGTGATATGAATGCAGGTGGGCCAGTGTAGCCTTCAGGGTAAATGGGCGGAGTTTCCGAGAGGAGATTACGGCCTGTGTCTGGGTCGTGTGCTGGATCATACAGCTGGACATCTTGAATAAGACGCGGCGCAGTCTTTCCTATATCATTGATAGAAAAAAATGTAAGTATTTGCTCAGGTTATATTTCAAATTTGCTGATGCAGGCTGTTGCCTTACCAGCCCTCTGTACGGACGCCATGAAGTACGGTGTTCGGGCCTGAAGGCCTCACACGGGTTGGATAGTCGTCTTGATGCTATGGGAGAGTTGATTCTCCTCAAGGTTTGATTCTCATCGAAGCTCACAAAAGCGCGCAATGTAACAGCTCAGCTGTGATGACAATGCTGTCAAATGATGAAATCGTCACTGTATGCGGAGAGACAGCGGGGAGCCCACTGCACTTGGCAGCAAGCAGTGGCAAGCTTCTAGAACTCTCTCCACCACAAAATGGACGGGGTTGAGATCAAGATTCACTTTTAGCAAGCAGCAAGTAGAATCTCAGAGGGCTCTTGATGAAAACAAATGAATCAAAGGCTTCGACAAGAAAGAAGCATTGTCCTAATCATGTACAGCTCCGTTGGAATGGCGGGCTTTGGCGGTCAGGTATGGCAGAAAGCTGACTCCAAAATCCTATCGCCAACCACATCCTATACCGCAAGCAGTCCATCCCTGCTATCACACACACATCATGGCGCACCACGACGAAGACCACAGCTATCACCCTAAGGATGCCATTTCGGCAGCCATGAAGGCCACCGCGCTTACCGGAAGCGTCGGTCTCTTCGCAGCCGCTGTGCAGAACACGCTCACCAAACAGAACGTCGGAACTCTGGGCGTCTTCGTCCGTGGCGGTGGTATCATTACTACCTTTGGTATGGGCTTCCTTATATATAAAATGATTGATCAATTGCTAAACTGGACATGTTACAGCGGCCATGGGTGGTACCTATGAGTTCATGAAGACCGCTTCCGCCAACCTGCGCGAGAAGGAGGACCACTACAACGTCGCTCTCGGTGGCTTCTTCTCAGGTGCCATTCTCGGTCTCCGAGGTGAGTTATTAATTTAATTGGGTCTATAATTATTTATTTGGAGCTAATAATCTGGTTTACCTCAGTTCGCACACTCCCCGCTGTCCTCGGATATGGTGTCGCCTTGTCAACCGCTATGACCGCCTTCGAGTACACCGGTGGCTCCCTGTTCGGATACCAGAAGGACACATCGGTGGATGAATTTGACCGCCGGACGGCATTGCGCAAGGCATTCCAGACTCCCGGAGAGCAGACCATCTCGGAATTGGGTGAAGGACGTGGTACGTGCTTCTTATCCGGGTAGCGATATTATCTACCAGTACTAATTTTACTAGGTATCTACGGCCCTGGCTACGAAGAGAGACGCCGGGAGCGTATCAAGGAGGCTTATGGCATTGAGGTTCCCACATCCCCAGTTCCTGCCTCATAAGCCTGCATTCTTCTCAAATCCGCCTTTTCCCATTGCTTTGTGTAAATTATCCCCCCATATCACGCTGCCTATCGTATGGATACACCCATCCGATTTGGTTTTCTTTAGTCTCCAGGAAATTCAAAACAATACACATTTCAAGTTTGGACCAACACATGATTGTGCAGTGCTAGGTACACTGGGCTGTGGACACCTGCATGGTAGTCTAGCGCACTCGAGTAAATATAACCTTCCGAATCTGTAGGACTATCGCATGGAGCTCAACATTAATTAGTGTTGAAGCGGGCATGTACCACTCTGGTGTTCAACAATGCTCCAAAATGAGGGGATATCCCCGGACCACCCGGGAGCCAATGACAGCGCACGTATATCAAACGACCGGAAGACTTCGAGATGCTTCCCAAGTTAGTATACAATCGCGATGAATGCTACTCTTTTTATGTTAAAAAATTATGATAAAACTACACCCAAAGATTTACTAGCAGCTCTTCAGGTGTTCGAGCTTACGGAATTTGCCAAAATCGGGCCAAACTTTTGATATGCCCTTGTGAGACCGATGATGAAACCTTGGTATGAAGAATTCCTAATAACTTTTAAAGACTCATACTTATTAGGCGAAACATAGGAAAGCCCACTTGTAGAAAATAGCAGCATACTGGTGTGAATTAGGGCAATTGGGCTTAGCTTTCGCTTCTCCAATCAGTGCAGCCACTTGAACGATGGAATTCAACCTCCATAACATCCACCAGTTCCAAAACTTACTTACTTCTTACCATCAAAAGACAGAACCTGAATGCTATGACTTTGACAAGCTGCCATAAACTTCGGTGGAGTTTCTACGGGCCCAAGACGGCCTCAAATTCGAGGTGCCCTATGCGTCCCCGGGATAGACTTGGAACAGGCACTTGAACAGTGGGATCACTGGTTCCTTATTCACCCAAGCGAGCTTGGAGGCTATTCTGGGTCCTTGAAATGGCATCTAACGGTACTAAAAGGAGAATCCGTCGTGAGGCGAGAGCAGTACCATCTATATGGACCAGCCACCAGGTACCGAGATTTCTCATACCAGATATGAAACGCGAACCGTCAAAACCACATGCATGTGGAAGCCAATCAATTCTAAGTGGCCAACAATTTACAGATATTCCAGGATTGAACATCACTGAATATTCCCGAAGACAAGATATCTATTGCAAGAAGAGCCTTAGTATTGCCACCGGGGCTGTATGCTTCATTGGGGCCCAAATTCTACTCCGACAAAAAGGAGAGCAGACGAAATAGAGGTATAGGCAGGAATGGACTGCTCATATATTCTATCAATGCCACCCGTAGGGCTGCCAGGCTTGATTACAGGTGGGCTCATAATAATAAACGCTATCTATCCTGTCTATGGACCATTGAATTTGGAACAGATGTAAAAAAAAGGACACTCCTGGGCAACAAATAGCAACTAGATCTGACCAAAAATATAGTCGCGCCCGGGATCGAACCGGGAACCTTCTCGGACCGTATTGTGAGCGAGACGCCATGACCATTAGGCCACGCGACTTGATTATTAATCGTTTCTGAGATGAATGGCTATATCAGACAAGTGGCAAAGGAAACCCCAGAGCTTTATTTCCAGGATTTCCTCATGCTAGATTGTAGACTAGGAATTGTATGCTGTGGATGGTTACTACGGGGAATGGGACTACAAAAGGATTGAGAGAGCTTCCTCTCATAACACTCCTAGGAAGATAGAAGATATTAGCAAAACAGACAAATAACTAGATCGAGACGAAGGGTAGGTTAGACTAGACTACATCATTCGCATACAGTCAACCTTCAAAGGATTTGCTCTCCGATTTTACCATTGTAGGTAGGCTTGACTCCGCCTGAGGTTACCGGCAATTTGGACTATGAAGGTGGAAGATAAGGTTAAGCCAACCTTGGAAACTAACAAAATTATAATTCATATATTTCACGTGGACAATCAGTCTAAAGCTAAAGGAAAGTTTGTAAAACCGAGGTCTATCAAGCGCAATTAGGTAGTCTCCGGGTTAACTCTTAACTATAGCAAATCGAACGGGAGCGTAAATGTTTGAAAAGACTGAGGTTTACAAAAATAAAAAGCAGAGTACGGAGTAGAGTAAGGGGGTTTGACTGTATAGAGACAAAAATATAGTCGCGCCCGGGATCGAACCGGGAACCTTCTCGGACCGTGTTGTGAGCGAGACGCCATGACCATTAGGCCACGCGACTTGATATGAGGTTTTTATGGTTTATTTGCCGTTATAGGAGGCTTGAAATTTATCCCTTATTATCTTATTTCTAATGTCCAACTTCCTACACTGTCTAGTTGACTTAGAACCAGGCCTTTCATGAACCACATCTAAGTATTACAGGGGCCGGTTAGTACAGAATAAGAGATACTATAGTCAAATCCCAGATATTTTGGAGCTGTTAGGCTAGTGAGTCATTTGAAAAGGGAATTATTAATAATCAAGTCGCGTGGCCTAATGGTCATGGCGTCTCGCTCACAACACGGTCCGAGAAGGTTCCCGGTTCGATCCCGGGCGCGACTATTCTTTTTGTCTGTGCAACAACATATAGAGTCTCCCACCATTTTTGCTTTCCTACTAAACGGCTCTCTATTCCAAGGAGGAGAAAGGATTTTGTATGTTGCGGACTTATATCTTTTTGGTCTGTTCTATAACTTCTTTCTAATCTACAATTAAACTATGGTTTATAATTTATTGGGCTATAACTACCTAGGTACTCGTACTGGTAAGTAACTCTGTAATGTGTACACCGTATGGCCTAGCGATATGACCCAATTGGTCACCGTAAAACGGATTCGCAAAAAGACTTGGCTTACTCCAGCCTGTCTTGCTGTCGTACTTTATATTCCTCATATGAGCGGTCGACCTAGAAAGTTCCGACGAAGAACTCGACAGTAATTCCGACTTGTTGCCACAAGTCTCAAAAAAGCAAGGCATTGAGAAGTTGCTCGATGATATGAAATAGAAAATCTGGGTAGCTAGCTCAAGAAAGACTCCCATATCAAGACCTCGATGCCTTGGCTTTTCCGAAAAGGGCAGCCAAGTTGTTTAGCACTTGATATATTGGCATATCACGTGGATGGGGCCTCCCCTGGACCTCGGGAGTACAATTCACTTAGCATCAAACCTGATACTTATAGTATTACTCCGTACACCCAGAGGAGATATGGTACGCATGAGCGGAACCAGATAAAGATGTAGTATTCCGAATGAGCCGAGGAGCAAAGTGTACCTCACGTACATGCCCAGGTGTAAGTAGAAGAGGGACCAACCTTGGAAGTGCCAAGTGCCTTGGATCTGCCCCAGATGCCGACGTCATGCACTGTTCATCACTAGATGATCAAGGGGGGTAAGTGTACCTATCATTTCTCCCCTTTTTTATTTTTTTTCCCGTATGAGCCACAGATCAAGTGGATCAAGTTCATCCGATCACAATAATAATCTTATTCTTTAGTTTTGTTCTCTTAGGGGCGGAGTCCCTCAGCCACTTTCTGTGCAGGCAACCGTATAAATTATAGGAGTCCTTGTTGTTCCTTTTTGTACTTTTCGTACATGTTACTATGTATAGTTTGATCCAGAATGAATGGGATATGGAAGCATGGAATACTTCAGACGGCTTTAAATTCCGATCCAGTACGTCAACCATGAAGATATAGATAATAAGAAGTCAAATGGCTTTTTCCCCCTCTCTTTCTCCCGGACGTCCCGAAAGCCCATCTTCCAAGGTCGTCACCATCTCGCATCTCGTAGACGTCATCGTCAGAAATTCCCTTCCCTTTAATTCCCGCCCCTCTGCCCTATATCGGTAGCCCAATCTCTTCTGATCTTCTCCTTTTTTTTCCTAAACCGAGTGGGGCAACTCTTATGCTTCTGTACCTCCCCCCGCATACAATTTGCTCCGTTCGCTAGGTAACCAAAAAAGACGCCACTTTAGGTGAACTCTGGAGCTATTATCCCCGATTCTCGCCTTTTTTTCCCTTCTCCTTTCAAATTTTTTACTTTCAACCTTCGATTAAATTCCGATCTTCTGCTTCGATTCTTAACCTCCGAAAAGCCGCATAAACCGTAAAACCCACGTTCCCGCAGATATGGCGATGGCCGCGCGGCCACAGACGCCCTCACAGGATGCATACATGATCCCGCACCCCAACGATCCGGGGGCTTTGAGTCGCGGGTACGGCCCGCGCTCTACCCTATCGCGACCGAATTCCTTCGCCGGCACCTCAGCATACCACTACAGCTCCGGCGCCCTCGAATCGTCGCAGGTTCCCCACAACCCCCGTTTCAAGGAGGACTTCGATACCGCCAGTCACCGCAGCTCGGTGTTTGACAGCCCTACTGGAGTGCAGCGGTCTGCCTCCACCATGTCGCACGTGCGATCCACGACCCCGTCCCGTTCGAGTACCTTGCGGAAGAAGGCCTCGCTGAGCAAGAAGGGGAGCCTGCGGCGCAATGGGAGCCGGAGAAGCATGCGCGCGGGAAGTGTGAGGAGTTTGAGCTTGGGTGACCGTGAAAAGTATGGCACCGATGGCTCGAACGATCTCAATAGTGCTTTCGTCACTCCAATTCCTACCAACGCTAACCCGACCGAGGTGCTGGCGAATCGGTTTGGAGGTGAGTTTTAACTCTTGTCAATGCGCGGGTTAAGGATATTTTGCTGACTGTTGTTTTATAGCTTGGCGCAAGCTTCTGAAAGACCTGATTCTCTTTTTCAAGGAGGTCCAGAAATCATACGAGACGAGAGCGAAGATTTTCATGTCCGCCTCGAGTGTTGTGAATAACCAGACCCTCCCGCCGGGTTTGCTTCAGGCGGGTGGTCTAGCCGATGCGACGGAGATCCTTCAAAACTTCCACCGACAGGGTTATAACGAGGCCAATAAAGCTGTCGAGGTGGAGGTCGAGGTGATCAGCCAATTGACTGGTCTCCGCAGCGATCTCCAGAAGAAGACCAAAGAGATCAAGAGCCTTTCGGGTGATTTCAAGAATACCGTCGACAAGGAAATTGAGGGCACGCGCAGATCCGTACGCAACTTGCACGAGGCTCTTGGGCTTGTCGATACCGATGCCTCTGCTACATCGGGCAAAGGTGATCCATTCATCCTGCGCCTGAACGTGGAGAAGCAGGTCGAGAAGCAGATCGAGGAGGAGAACTACTTGCATCGGGTTTGTGATGACTTACCCTTATGCTATTTACTTGTCTAATATTTCTTTTATAGGCATTCTTGAACCTAGAGAACTCTGGCCGTGAACTGGAGGGAATTGTCGTGAGCGAGATCCAGAAAGCATACAATGCCTACGCTAGTATCCTTCGACGCGAAGCCACTGAAGCTCTCGACACTGCTGAGAAGCTCCAGGCGGGTCCGATATCCATGCCCCAGGATTACGAGTGGAACCAGTTTGTTTCCGACACAGAAGAGCTAGTCGATCCTCGGATTCCTCTCCGGGATGTGGAGAGCATCACCTACCCTGGCAAGGGTCACCCAGCAGCTGCTGAAGTCAGGGCTGGAATGTTGGAGCGCAAGAGCAAGTATCTCAAGAGTTATACTCCTGGCTGGTGAGTCCCCTATTTCCCCGTGTGGTTTAAAGCTTTTGTCTTATCAAGTCCAGGTATGTTTTGTCGCCAACGCATCTCCACGAGTTCAAGTCGGCAGATCGTGTGGCATGGCAGACACCCGTCATGTCGCTTTACCTACCAGAGCAGAAACTCGGCTCCCACTCACAGGAAGATTCAAGCTCCCACAAGTTTATGCTGAAGGGTCGGCAAACGGGTGCAATGCACCGAGGCCACTCGTGGGTCTTCCGTGCGGAATCCCACGAGACCATGATGTCCTGGTATGAAGATATCGATGGCTTGAGTAACATGACAGGAGAAGCGCGAAACGCCTTCGTCCGGAAACACGTCCGCAGCGTGAGTGGTAGGTCGATGCACAACGAGGTGATGGAGGACGATGAAGCCGATCGCACCCCATACTCCGCAGGCTCTGCAGTCATGACTCAAGACCGGCCCACGTCCTCTCGCCAAGCTGGAGGTGCGTTCCCCAGCGACGTCCAACTTGACCGGAACCTCCAAGCACCCTTGTCACCTTCTAGTGGGGACAGCTCCGCCGGCAGAGATATGCTAGGAGCTGCTGGATCGTACCCTGATGGGTCTAGTACATTTGATGACAGCCTCCGGCCAGTAGGTAGCCGTGAAGGAGACAGTTCCTACCAAAACTACCGGTCCAACGAGGAGACCAATGAAAGGTCTCGGCCCAAAGTTACCCAGCACGATAGCTACTACGGTGACTGGATCGGACCATCCGTGATAGTGGCAAAGCAGAGGCAGAGCCAGCAACTGGAAAACCCGACCCCGGATGATCGCGAGATCCGGTCTGATGGAGATCAGGCTTCCCTTGCTGCCATCTCGGGTGTCGGTATTGCTGATCGTCGCGATCACTCGGCTCCTGCCCAGATTTATCGTCGGGAGAGTGTCTCTACGGCGCCTACCAACACCAACGCGACTGAGTTTACAAACCATACCAATCCTACCTCGGTAGATGATCAGGAGCCCGAGCTCCCTAAAATCCAGACTCTTGGCCTTGAGAATGGTTCTATCAATCCAGGCCCTGAATCAGACGGTGCTGCCAAGATTCCACCCACTTTGCTACGTTCAAATACAGACAACAGTGTCGCCCTAGATATGAAGATGCCAGGCCGTTATCCTCGCACCCATGTGGCAGCATAGGTGCTTCACCCTCTCTATACTTATCCCCACATTTGTCTTTTCATCTCTCTCTTACCCCATCTTTTCTTATTTCCTTCAATATTCTTGTCTGTACATGTACCACTCCTTGCCTCTTATACAATTCGCCCTTGTCCATTCAAGGCGTTTTGATCCTCTCGTTGGGACGGTTTCCACACAGGTCCCGTCTCTCCCACAGCATAAAAGTCATGCTGCATCGGCGTTCGTTTTACCGGCAGGGTGTGGCGCAATGGATTTTTTTCCGTTCTCGTTTATTGTTTCATGGATTGATTCTTGATTCCCAGTGCTGGGCACTAAGCACCCATTTCTTTCGTTTTCCGGTGGGACTTACTATTTGAGATTTTATAAAACTCCGGGTCTTTTTTTTGAGAAAAAAAAGGTACAAATGAACACGTTTCAGTTGAATTTGCTGTAGTTTCCCGAAAGGATATAGGCCGTGGCAATTTAGTAACTGAAATACACTGTGCAGCCAGTCATGAGTGCAGATGTCCACTGTACCTAGGTATGTTGGTGTGCCGGTGTTAGTTGAGATGCACGATAAGAGCGATAAGGCTAGTCTGTATGGTTAGAACCTACATAATGCGCATTTATGTAGGTGCAGTACATAAATCATAGGTTAGGGTTGTTATTTTTCTTTGGGAACGAAAGAGGCAATAGGTATCTACATTACCTTCTTATAGCTTCATTCCTAATACCGGTATAGCTACATCGATGTATACAATCCAGTCTTAGCTATATGCCGAGGCGGTGACGAGTTTTGCCCGAGCTGTCCAAGTACATATCGGAATTCTGTATTTTCTTCTCTCCATGATATTTCCCTCACAGGACTCTTTATAGGATCCAGGATCCAAAGAATCGACTCCTCTTCCGTCCGGTTCTCCTCTTCTATTCCTCGTCCCCCTCCTTCCTTCTTTGTACCACATTCAACTTTCTTACCGCCACGCGCGATCGAGCTCGGAATCATGGGTATGTTCTTCGTGTCCTCTGGATTATTACACCTTTCTTTTTCGTATCTTTGTATTACTCGTTTGTTACTCTCATCCGCCTGGTACACTCAAAGGTCCCCGGTCAATCCACGCCTTCATCCAATCACGGTCTCCTGTCTCCCCCCCAAAGGTTGAACCTTGACGCCTGATCCTTTCATCTCCCCCGCTTCCTCTCTTTTTTTTCCCCTATTTCTTCCTCTCTTTGGTTTTCTTGAGATTCTCCGCTAACAGCCTCATCCGCCCAGCCGACGTCTATCGACCATACCAAGTAAGTTTACCGAGAACCCCCGTTTTCTTTTTTTGTCCTATTTCCCGCCGATTCTACAAACCATTCCAATCTTGCGCATGACGCTCAGGTCGATATCAATGATCATAAGATTGTGGTCAGTGCGGGGGTGGAAACCGCCATATATGTTTGATCAGATATCTTCCAGATCTGGAGATCTGAGGACCTGAAGGGAAAAACGGGGAAACACTTTACCATCGCAATGTTTGATTCCAAAAAAATAATTGCAGATGTGTGCGCAAACAACGTTTGCCAGTGGCACCAAGCTTCTACCCCAGAGGTCCTCAGTGCATCTGAGACAAACATCCCCCTCAAAGCTGATGGTCACCTGACCCACGCCGAGGACCCCGACCCCCCTCGGAGTTGCGCCTTCCACGGTAGCGACTGTCCTCTGAACACGTCTTTTGCTCCTTCCCATCTTCATTTCATCAAAATCATAACATTGCACCGCTTTCGCGACCGCCTTTCTTATCTACTTTTTGTTCATGTCTGACCACATCCAGCGTGAGAGGTCTCGCTCGCCCCGTCGCCGTTCTTCTCGCAGTCCTCCCCGACGCACTCGCCGTTCGTATTCGCCTCGCAGTCGCTCCCGCAGCCGTGGTGAGCGCGACGAATACCGCCGTCCCGAACGCCGTTCCCGATCCCCTTTGAGTACTTCCGGAGCAGCAGCTGGACCCCCAGGCTCAGGCTCGCCTTTCGGAGGACGCAGTGGATACCCCCCGCTCGATTTGAGGACCGCACCGTCGCCAAGGAGAATATGATGCAGACCGTTCGCGATTCGTCCCAGCAAGACCGCCGGGTCTATGTGGGTAACCTTTCGTATGATGTCAAGTGGCATCACCTTAAGGATTTTATGAGACAGGGTGAGCAGGGTTGCGCATTTGGAATGGTGATTTATTGGAACGTTTGAAGCTAACCAGGGTTGTGATTTCTTGTTTTACAGCTGGAGAAGTTCTCTTTGCCGATGTTTTGCTTCTTCCTAATGGAATGTCGAAGGTGGGCGCTTATTTGTAGAGGGGCTAGTTCCTTCTATTTCCCCCGATTTTCGTGGTTTGTGTAGGGTTGACGGGTGGACCTTGGCTGTCCTGATATTGTAGGGATGCGGGTGAGTACTTTCTTGTCTTTCTTCAAATTGAACTCTTTCACTGACATGTCTACTAGGATTGTGGAATATGCAACCAGGGACCAAGCACAGAACGCCGTGAATACGCTCAGCAACCAGAGCCTGATGGGCCGTCTTGTTTATGTTCGTGAGGTATGTTGACACAGAATCCATGGTGTTGCGATTACAAATACTAACTTCAGTCCCCAGGACCGTGAATCCGAGCCCCGCTTCGTTGGTGGTCCCCCACGCGGTGATTTCGGCCCCGGTGCCCGAGGTGGATTCGGTGGTGGTTTCGGAGGCCACCCAGGTGGTGCAGGTGGCGGTGGCCGCCAGATTTATGTCTCAAACGTTTGTTCCCTTTTTTAACTCCCCGTTACGCTAAGTTCTGGCAGGCCTTGTTGACCGTTTGGTGTAGCTTCCTTTCAATGTTGGCTGGCAAGACTTGAAGGATTTGTTCCGCTCAGCTGGTAAGTACCGATCAAAAACACCCTTGGACTTGGGTTCCTATTTTTTTTGTCTAGTGGAGGTGAATTGACTCGGACTCCGTATCACAGCCCAGCAGGGTGCCGTCATCCGTGCCGATGTGCACACCGACCCTACCGGACGTCCCAAGGGCTCCGGTATCGTTGCTTTCGAGTCCCCCGATGATGCGCGCAACGCCATTGCGCAGTTTAACGGATACGATTGGCAGGGTCGTCCTCTTGAAGTTCGTGAAGATCGTTTCGCTGGTGGTGGCCCCGGTTTCGGTGGCCGTGGTGGCTTTGGTGGCTTTGGCGGTCGTGGCGGCTTCGGCGGTCCTATGGGCCGTGGAGGCTTTGCTGGTCGTGGAGGCTTTGGCGGCGGATACCCTGGACGTGGTGGCTTCGGCGGTCCCCCTGGTGGTCACGGTGGTTTCCCCGGTGGATTTGAGCACGGCGGTGCTCCTCCTGTCCCCTCCGGACCTCCCAACCCATTCACCGATTATGCCACTTCCAACGGCGAGAAGAGTGCTGTCATCTATGTTCGCAACGTAAGTTTTGAGGTGTGCAAGGAGAACCACATGGAATGCTAACTCGATCGCAGTTGCCCTGGTCTACTTGTAATGAGGACCTGATCGATCTGTTCTCCACTATTGGCAAGGTTGATCGCGCTGAAATCCAGTATGAGCCTAACGGCCGCTCCCGCGGTACTGGTGTTGTTCAATTCGACACTCCCGACACTGCCGAGACTGCAATTGGTATGCTTCCATTCATATTGCTGCTGCCAATATCCATATACTAATATTCATCTCCCACAGCCAAGTTCTCCGGCTACCAGTACGGTGGTCGTCCTCTGGGCATCACTTTCGTGAAGTACATGAACGCCGGCCCGGGTCCCGATGAGATGATGGAAGGCCAAGAGTCGACCGTCGGTCTGACCCAGGACCAGATCATGTAAAGCACTTTCGTCCTTGTTTTACCTAGTCACTTTCTTTGACAGGGGGCGTCTGGCTAATTTTTTCTTTCCGCAATTTCTTGATTCGTGATTCCCTTATTCCCATTTCAGTTCTCGTGGCTTCGTCCACGCAAAATGGGTTTCGAGTGCCCCTTTGGGCTGATCAAATGCTTCTCAAATGGAATGAGCCTTTTTCTTCCAGTGCATTTTTTTTGTAGGCCTTGTAGTTCCCTTATCATGCAGAATTTGTAGGTTGGGATTTCTTGCCGTAGGGGCGTTGTCTAAGAGTTTAGACTTTCGTTCTCACCACGCCCATCGCCATCGCCCTCGCCGTTCGTTTCAGTATGTTTCATTTTATTTCTGATATTAAACCGGACTGAGAAATATTCTCCACACCTTTTCCGTGTCCCTTTTCTCTCCTTTCTCTCTTGTGTCTCGTGTCTCTTCTCCCCTTTCCCCACAGGTATGTCGGCCTTTATCGGCTTATCTCTGCTTATCGCTCTTTATCTCTCTTTATCGCATATTATTGGCATGGAAGAACCTTGAAAGTAGACTGGAAACTGCGCAAGTTTTATGAATCACTTACATTCTTTCACCACTACTCTAAACTCTATCTCTAGTGTTGGATTCATTGTTATACCATCAGGATCTCACCCTATAGATATCGATCTTATATACACATAGGTCTAGGTATAATAGTGTGGTTGAGTGGAGCTTTGTACAACTCCAACTTGTACCCTTTGTATGTGTATCCCATACAAAAGATACATGGCCCCAAAGCCGATACGTACACATGTATAATAGACTTATTATAAGCTTAATACAAACCAAGTACCTAGGTATATCCTTCGGTCTATATACATATTAATCAATCAAACTATACGCAACACATGCATCATGCTCCACATATGTACATATGTAGTTTTGTATGCACCATTTGGCTCTTATACTACACCAAACGCACGGACCAACTTCGCAATCCATCTCCAACAATCACATCTTCACATTTACCTCTCCATTGACTCCCCCAATCACACCAAAACCATGTCCTACCTCGCCCGCACTCTCCCCAAAAGGGTCCTCACCCCCTCCCTGGCCCAATCAATCCGCCAAACCCGAGCACTGAGCACAACAACCCTCCAATCAACACCAACAACCCGAGCACCCCGAACACCCCGAACAAATCAAACACACTCTCTCCCCCACCGGACCTACCACTCAGCCCTACACGCCCGGCTCCCAGATCACTCCTACACAAACTCCCAAACAGCAATCCTCACCTCCGCGCTCGCCCACGTCCCAACCCACGGTTTCTCCGCCACAGCACTAACCCTCGGCGCACGGGACGCCGGCTTCCTCGACGTCTCAGTGCAACTACTCCCGCGCGGCGAATTCGACCTCATCCTCTTCTGGCTCGCTAGTCGACGTGGTCTATTGCGCGGGAAGGTCGAGGAGGGGGGGATTATTCCGGCGCATTGCGGCGGAGAAGGGGAAGGATGTTCATGAGCTTTCTGTTGAGGAGAGGGTTCGGGGGTTACTTTTGGAGAGACTGAGAATGAATGGGGAGGTTAGGGATGTTTGGCAGGATGTGAGTTTTTTTTTTTTTTTTTTCTTTCTTTTCTTTCTTTTCTCCTTCTCTCCTTTGGAGATAGATGCAGAAGAAAAGAATTCTTATACTAATCTACATTTTTACTAGGCTCTCGCGCAAATGTCACTTCTTGCTAATATTCCCCTCTCTCTTACGGAACTGCATGCCCTGGCCTCGGATATCCTTACTCTTTCTGGTGATGACGCTGTTGATGCGACTTGGTATACGCGCCGTCTGGCCGTTTCGGCTATATATGCCAGTGCTGAGGTTGTGATGACCCGTGACCCGACGCCGGATCTTGTGGATACGGCTGCGTTTGTCGAGCGTCGGTTTGAGGATCGGAAGGCGCTTGCTGATAAGATTACTGGGATTGGACAGTGTGCTGGGTTTGGGTGGAATACTGCTATTGGGCTGGGGCGGAGCTGGGGGTTGAAGATTTGAGGTGATTTTTGAATCGACCTGTTCGCTTTTTGGTATCTATTACCGGCTCATACTTCCAGCCCACGCTTCAGCCCATACTTGGGGTTCTTGAGGGAAGTTTACTGAAGCAGGCTTTGTGGTAGATGGATTTGTACTTTTATTCCAACTATTTTTTATTATTGTAAACTACTCCATTCTTGTCAGCGAAAATACTCTATTTTGTTATTATGGGATCCAGTCCTCGCTGGTATCCTCACAAATATCCATTTCATGGAAAATAAATAGAGACATAATCTATCATGTCCCAACCTGTTCACCCGAACAGCCGCGCTTGATGCCAAAAAAAACCCTGAAAATGAGCCAAGAGCAAAGAGTGTATCTAAGCATGAAAAGAAAGGAAATTAAACAGAGAAGCAACGCTCAATGCAAAGAGACGTTCTGCAATGCCTCCTCCACACTAAGAGGTGCATGGTCATCGGCGGCACCATCTACCTTGTCGGCAGTAGCCTCAGACGGTGAAATTAACAGCGTGGGGGACTTCGGCGAAAAAGGGTCCGAAACAACACTACCCTCTGGTGATGGCTCTTGCTGAGCAGACACGGGGGTGTTTCCACCAGTCTCAGACTCCTTCGATTGACTAACACTGCTGACCCCGCTCTCGACCGAGTCACTCTGTCCATGCTGGGGTTTGCCACGTCCCCAACGGCGCGCTTTTGGAGGAAGTGGAGCCTGTCCATGTCGGCCTGTTCCGGCTGCTGGGACTACGGGCCGGTGGTGACTTGAGGAAGGTGTGTTGTGACTGGAACGGCGTGGTGGTGGGAGGGCTGGGGGTGGATTTGATACGGCCCGCCGGGGCCGTGAACCTGGGGGTGCAAGAGTGGAACCTGACCTGGAGTCGGGGCGATCATTGGTAGGTGTCTGTGACGGTGGTGCGCTGGGGGTGAAAACAGTGGTGGGGCTGACTTCGACGCCTTCGGGTATGGTGTTCCCGTCGCTGCTTGTGCCAGTAGAGTGGTGCTCTTCTTCATCAACGGCCAGACGGCGCCCGCGCCAGCGGCGAGATTTCGGTGGTTCGGGTTTGACCTTTGGTGGTCGGATTATTGGCGTCTCGCCATGGAGAGCGGCGGCAGGGACTCCGTCCTTGCGGCTGGGGGTTATTATGCCTGGTTTTTCGTGCTGTGCCGCAACAGCCTGAACGCTTAGTGAAGATGCGGATGCGGGCTCTAGGTTCATGCCGAGTCGGTGGATCAAGCTGTGCTTCCGACTATCCGGTGCGTTAGACGAACTATACGAATCCACTCGCGTTGGTGAGGTTGTGTCAGGTGAGCTAGCGATTGTGCTTCCTCGTGAGAGTGTGCGAGAGATGTCGAGTGATTCGCCGATATCTATGGGCGACGCATGCTGCTCGCCTTGATCCAGGACAGTCTCAATTGTAGTTGTTGTCACTTGAATGGGGGTATCTTGCGTTTCTGCTGCGTCGCGCTGCTCGTCATCGCGTAGCCAGTCTACTGTCGCACACCGAGCGACAAGTCGACGTGTCGTTTCATCGACCTCTTCGAAATGCATGATTTTCTCGTGTTCTGGATCGCTCCCATATGAGACTTGGCCCCGAACAAGAACGCTGAGTAGCCCCCTAAGTCCATCACGTTTGTAGTGCGGCGGGTTTCGTAGCTGTGTATGGGCTAGAAGCGGGTAAAGAACACGCAGGTAAGTATGGCGCAGGGCGGATGCCTCCTCGGGTAAATCAAGCAAATTCCGGATCAATATATCGACCAGAACATGTAGATCGTTCGTGAAGAAGTACTCATATGTGCTAGGGGTGGTAAATATGAGATAGAGAAGCTTCAATGTGAGCAACTGGAGTGATGTCTCGGCTGCATGTTGTCAGTCATTGGCTTTACTGAACAGGAGGATTGCCTGTTACCTTCACGATTGATTAGAAGAATGATGTTCTCCCCGAATGTCTTATACATCCCACCATACACGGATAGAATCTTGATAACCTTGTTAGTCAAGTGACTAGTGGGCCGGCCGTCCACCGGATCATGAGCCGAGATCATAAATTGCTCGTTCAGAACCAGCTGTGCAATTTGTCAATGCCATTCCAACCAAAATAATCCCAAGGAAGTACTCACCAGCACCCGAATCACGGGGTAGTGATAAGGATCGGTAACATCGTATGAGAGATCTTCGATGATATCAAAGAGACAACGAATGAAATCGTCATCCACGAGAACTGCACACAAGGCCGTAATCAGCAACCAGAAGCAGCACATGTGTATCCAAAACGCACCCAAGTCTTCAATTTTGACCCTTTGTATCCTCGACATCTCATACACAAGGTCCATCAACAAACGATGAAGACCCGCATCGCCGTCCAGATCCGCCCTTCGCATCGCCTGTATAAGCTCGAGGAGACGCGCAAACGCGCCCTCCTCATTCAGCATCTGAAGTACAGCTTCATTTTGTCGTCCGTCAAAGAGGATGAATGACGCAATGAAGTGGAGTGTGTTCGGATCATCGTCCTGCAAGAGACCGTAGAGAATCTGTCGGCGCACGTAGTCCGTATGTGAGGCGAAGATACTCGACGTAAATAGCTTGTAGGAACAGCGCGAGATATCGGTTTCCGACCGGAGGTATTCATCTAGGGAAGGGTGGGTGTGTTAATCGTAGTGGAAACAAAGTTGGGGGCGGACGTGGCGCTGCACGTGGGAGTGTGTCTGGGGTAGAGAGATCGTTTTTCGGGGGGTCGAGGTGCCATGTATACCTTTGTGTTGAGTTGTTAGACTGAGATAAGCTCGGAGGGCGTCGTCGATCTCATCTTCGGAGTCACAGTGCTTGGAGACGATCGTTTGAAGTTCTGCGGGAACCGGTCAATTGTCACGTCGCATTATCTTGAAAGGAGAAAACGAGAATAAGAATAACATACCAGTCCAGAACTCAGTCTCCGAGACCTCAGACTCCATTTCCCGTCAGACAGCTCATGCCGGTTTATGTGCCGGGTTTAAAGAGTTGGAGAGAGTTAAAAGGGCGGGGGCTTGGGAATTCGAGAGTCCCACTGCGGGTCAACCCTAAGGTACGCACTACGTTACTAGGACTATCAGGTACGTGTTTATAGAAGAAAGAACTTTCATTGGTATCAAAATGCAAAAAAACAAAACAAAACACAATTATGCAACCGGGCGTAAGAATGGATGCGCTTCGGTATTCCTACAAGAAAAAAAAATAGTCAGTGTTGGTCCAAAGTTGTTTGTTTACAGAGCTACGTCAATCACTTACAGAACATATTTATCCAAGTCCACGACAGTAGGGTCGCTGAACAAAAGGTAGAAGTACTTCAACGTCTCAGATAGCCAGAAAGACTCCATAGTATCCTTATGGATCGGCTTCTGGGCTGTGACATCGTGGATGGCCGAGTTGGCCAGCTCCGTTCGGGTATACTTCGAGATGGCTTCGAACATCTGCCACCCCTTGCGTCGCCAGGATTCGTCGCCAGTCAGACGATACATGATAAAGACCGACTCAATCGCCTCGGGCCGAAGGTAGTATTTCGGCGACGGGATACTGGTCATACCTGCTGGGAGGTGGTCTTTGCCGACTTCGGCGATGTGTGGTGAAGCGGGCGATGAAGTTGAACGAGGTGCATCTCGGTTCTGCAATTCAGCTTCACCGGGAGTAGGAGTCGGGATTGAAACAACCGACGATGCCTCCGCGTGATTTCCTAATGCAAGTCCATCGCGCTTGACCAACACGTCGCTGTCGTGGGGGTTTAATGAACCCGGCATGGGGATGGGCACAGACCCGCTCGCGGCTCCTTGAGGTGGGTCGTGCGCAATCATATTCACGCGCTGTTCGTAGCTGCTCTCTCCATTGCGGAACGAATGTCCTGCGCTGGGGTCTACACGCGAGTAGCGTGCCACGCCAGCCTCAAAGCGGGCTTGATCCCACTCGCAGGCTGAGCCTTTCTCACATGGCAAAAGGCGGAAGCGTTCAGGCATAATTCCAGTCTGTGTCGACTCGTAAGCCCAAACACAACCCTCGGTCAGTTTGGCTGCGAGTTCAAGATCACCATCGATGCCAAAGGCCTTGGCTCCTATGGCGAACATTCCGCCGACGAAACATGTCAAGTGTGTACCTTCGTATTCAAGATCAGTGGAAGTGAGCTCTGCGACTTTTCCAGGTGTCATTGGAGCGGTCAAGGCCATGAAGCGGATATCACGTCCACCTTTCACCATGGGCTGGAAAAGAAGATTCTTGCGGGCTGCAGTGGTTGCCTTTTTATACATATTCAGGTACTGATCGTTCAGGCCACCCAGTAGCAAGTATTCCTTGGGCAGGTATTCGTAGGTCGAGTCAGCCATTCCTCCCATAGTGTACACGTTATCGCGGGGTGAATTAGGAAGTCTCAAGCCGCCATTGCATTGCTCTGCTGATGGTGTATTTTGTTCGCGGGCCTGAATGCTAGGCTCATCCGCAGCTCGCGTATCGTTAACAGGTTTGGCATGTCCTTCGATGTTAGCGGTTATGCCGCGGGGGATCAGCTTCAAATAGCTCTCAAGGTCTGTCGGTGCAGCGTAAGGTTTGCGAGTCATCGTAGTAGTGCTCTCGGTCGTACTAGCGGCGTGCTGCTCGCGCGTAGGGCTGTTATCACGTGGGGGAGTAGCCTTGGAGTACTTGGAACATCCCTGTGCATTGACCCGTAGAGGCCACAGTCCAGGGATGCTTGTTGAATCTTGGATTTTCTCCAATTCGTTGGTAATCCGTGCAATCGCATCATAGTATTTGTCCCGTTTGGTCAATTGAGCCAAACGGGTAAATTCCAAGGAAAGGGAGCCAATTTCAGCCAGCCCAGCTCGAGAAGACGCCCGATGCGGTTTCGCAACAAACTCCCTGGGAAGATTCGGTTAGTCACCCTTAGATGATACAGAGACAGTCTGTGGCAAGACTTACGGGGCCCAGCGATAGTAAAGGTGTGGCATGCGGTTAGGAGTGTCAAAGGCACCAATGAGAACCTCAGCAAG